CGCTGAAGCCATTTTTGTGCAACCATCCAATGAGGCTTTTCAAAAGCGCTGGGGTTCCATGACGGACGGCCTTCTTCACGGTCTGAATTGGGACAATCTATTTGTTGCAGGCGGTATCGTCCTTGGTTCCATCCTTACGCCAGAAGTTCCGGACGCCAACAAGCCCGATGAGTGGCTGTCCTCGGACATAGACATGTACATTTATGGACTCTCCCCGACTGTCGCGAACAAGAAAATAAACCACATTGCAGCGACGTACCAAAACAATTTACCCCCAGGCTCCCCGTTCCTGGTTGTGCGTAACTCGCAAACAATCACACTTTATTCGGAGTGGCCGAGACGCAGACTTCAAATCGTCTTGAAACTCGTCAAGAGCCCCAGGGAGGTGCTCTTGAACTTCGACCTCGATATTTGTGGATGCGGCTGGAATGGAGCAGAGGTCTATATGCTCCCCAGATGTGCGAGGTCCCTGGAGAGTTCGTTTTTTATATCTGTCTCCCGAGTGTTCTCCTGATTCTCCCTGCCAGCTGCAACGAATACTTTTGTCATGGACCTAATTAACGGGCACTACCTTGGAGACCGTAAAGTAAGCTGTCACGAGTTTTGGTTGAAGCACAGACTAACATAAAGACCGCAAGGCTACGCGTGATAAGAGGTAAATTTTCTGGTAGTTGCACCCCTTAATTGACTAACTTACATCCAGAGTATTCAAATACGCGAGCAAGGGATACGGTCTGCGTATCCTTCCGTCTTACATCTCGGCTTTGACGACGTATAATTCGACTACACATCTATCTGCCATAGCCCGAGGGGAGGTGCTTTTGAATACCGTCTCTCTCTCCGAGTTGGCTCTCCAGGCCCGGACGTGGACATCGGAGGTCATTCAAGAATACCTAGAAGTTGGCCACAATAATCGACCCTTTCACTGGCCTTGGGGAAAATATAAGCCGGTAGAAAGCGTCAAACCAGTCTTCTCGCATGCCATGCTCGAGAGCTACGCGCAGACAACAAGTGAGCCACTCGGCAGGAGTTGTTTAACTGGATTCTCCCTGTTTATGCGTCACGTGGCCTTGTGGGAGCAGGACGTCGAAGGGAAGATTGCGTGCGTCCGATGTACAGCTTTTATTTTTATTCCTACCTCTAACCGCTTTATACGTAGAATATTTGAGGACTTGTGGGCAACGGACACGTACGGTGAAGGCGCAAGGGTCGAGATTGCGTATGACGATTCGCCAGCGTGCGTTGAATTGGTCTTGTGGTAAACGACTCTAATTGCGGACATAGTTACAAATGGGACCGCACCTTCAACCTTGCAGAATTCAAGAAGGCCCTAGACGATCACAACAAGCAGGAATCTTCGGTGGCTTCGGAAAACTGTTATTGGACGAGCTCTAAGAAGCAAACGGGCATTCCTGCTGCCCGAATCACCTATGGAGATTCTGTTGACCAAGTTTTGTTACCAAAGCACGACATCATAATTCCTCTCAGACTCGATACATCTTTCATGGAGTTTGCGAACACGCAGATAGTCGCGGCTTTGCATGATGCGAAACAACGCGCGGGCCTTGACGAAGCTGACTGCGCGGCGCCTTTGACTTTGCATAACGACGGCAACGATGACCCGGAGGTCCTTGCGTTGTGGCGAATGAATAAGGTACTCAACTGGCAGATGCTAGATCGGCGTATAGACGAGTGCGCACCCATTGTATTTCCTCTCGAATCTGTTTCGCTGACCACTTTGTTTGAAGGATACGAGAAGTCCTTTGGGCTTTTCACCGAGCGAATGAACGAATGATCGTCGAGGAAGAGTCCAGACGCAACTTTCTTATGACGAATATATCCAAGCGGGCCATCCGAACTACAGTTGAGGACGAACAGGAGGCGTTCGTGCGTTGGGTGACAAGGAAACCGTACCATGAGGAGACCAAGCTCAATGCTATGTGGAGTTTTGAGGAAGGAGAAGGAGGAGGATGGTAATCCGAGTCAGAAGAGGATGTGTAGAAGTAAGTACATAGAAGCAAAGTAGAAGTCGATAGAAAGGGTTGTGATGACATCAGCTTTAGTTGATCGCCTTCGCTTAGATCACATACTTACTACTGTGGTCTGTTCCTGTCCAGACTGGCGCGTCAAGTTGGCTTACGGGGTTGCTCTTCCCAACAGCACGTACAGCTCACGTCCTTGCCACCTCAGCTGCTCTCACATCCTCGGCGCGATTCTTTCAATCCACCAACGCGGTCAGCTACGCGCTCGCCGCAGTTGCCACTAACCCCGGCCCTTTGCCAACGCAACTCTTTGCCGCCACTGGGCTGTTGGAATGACCGTGACCCATCGCAAACCGCCACTTCAACCGGACGAAATTGCAAGCAAGTTGTATGCTCCACTACTCCCCACCAATACTAAACCTCCCCCAGCTGTTAATGAGCCAGGCGTCCAGTTCGAGTGTGATTCGTGCGCATGCGACCTCACACACACTATTCGCATGAAATGCGCCGACCCAGCTTGCCAATCAGAGGACGGCGTCGACATATGCCCGCCTTGCTTTTGTGCGGGGAAAGAATTTGGGAATCATCTTAGAAGCCATGCATATCGCGTCATTGTAAGTCAAAATAACCCTGATCCATTCATGCCCAGAATTCACGTTCGCGTCCAGGAATTCAACTCTTATCCCATATTCTCCGATGACTGGGGGGCAGACGAGTAAGGCTTTACATCTGTTCTATTCCAGAAATCTTATTCTCCCAGAGAGTTGCTCCTGTTGAAAGGCATCGCAAGTCACGGCCTCGGCAACTGGAAGAAAATCGCCGAACATGTTGGTACCCAGACCAAGGAGGAAGTCGAAAAGCATTACAACAGTGTATACGTCGATTCGCCTGATTGGCCGTTTCCCGTACGTTCGGTGCAACGCGTTCTCTGCTAATACTAACGTGCACAGCGAATGGACCTTAGATTTGATATACCGCCCGAGGAATTTCAGGAACGAAAGCGACGACGGATAACAGCCATGAACGCCATGCCTGTTTCTCCCCCGAAAGTTGCGCCTACCTCTGCCCCGGGCATACACGAAATTGCTACTTTCCTCCCCGGGCGGTTGGAGTTCGAACACGAGCTAGACAACGAGGCGGAGGATCTTGTCAAGGATCTGGAGTTTGGTGTTTGCCTCGAATTCGGCGGCGACGATATTATCGAAGACGAGAACGATCTAGACGTCAAGGCCCGGCTTCGATGGGAAGAGGACAAAAGAAATGGCGTTGTCCCCGGTTCTACCCCTCTTTTGCCGGAACGAAAACCGGCACACAAAGGGAAGGGCCCTATGCCGCTCCTCAACGGCTCTTCTAATGGCCTGGCAAATGGAGTTCGGCCGCCGAATATAAACGGCGACGTTGTACCTTCATCTCAGTCCGAGGACGTGGTTATGGGTACTGCGGACGAAGAGGCAGAAGAAGTCGCGCAACTACCTCCCGTCGAAACCGAGCACTCCCTAACCTTCAAGCTCACTCTTTTAGAGATGTATGCTCAGCGGGTTGAGAAACGTCTAGAGAGCAAGGCACTCATGTTCGATCGCGGCCTTCTGGAATATAAGAAAGTAGGACAATTATTTTGGTGCTGCTTCGTAGGCTCACTATTTTTCAGATGCAAGCAGCAGAAAGGAAAAGACCGAAAGAAGAGAAAGATATTATACTTCGACTGCGACCTTTTGCGCGACTTCAAACAGGGGAAGATTACGAGGCTTTTTGCACAGATGTGCTTTGTACGCTAAGTTATCATTTCCTCGCGATTTGTATGCTTATCCTGGCCAGATGAAGCCATGCTTCGGAAGAAGATTCAAGACCTGCAGCAATATCGTCGTCTGGGTCTTTCAACTGCGGCCGACATTGACAAATACTTGAATGATGTAGCCAAACGGGTTCGTCCACCTCTGTTTTTCCTTAGCCGTTTGCCGACCTCACCCTACAGACTCAAATTAAGAACAATCCTCGAGAGTATTATGCCACGGAGAAACAGAACAGAGCTGCTGGGCGACAATCATCGGGCCCTGATCGTTCAAGTCTGGCTCCCTTCGATTCCGACGGCAGAAAGAGTCACGACCGCGAAATGACGCCGAGATTGGCAGATGTTATTTCCGCGCCTGCCAATGCTCGGAAACGAGGTACCATATTTCGTTTATATTTCAGCGGACGTATCTCATACTGTTGCCAGCTCCGTTGAATCTGGCCAACAGCCCGTCCCTTCACCTCCTCACGCCTGCCGAGCAAACACTTTGCTCTCAGCTTCGCATTCTGCCTAAACCTTACCTCGTTGTGAAGGAGACTCTAGTTCGCGAGTATGCACGGAGAGGGGGCAAGCTACGTCGGAGAGAAGCAAGGGACCTGGTCAAGATCGACGTCAACAAGACGAGTAGGGTTTGGGATTTCCTAGCTCAGGCTGGGTTTTTGCAGATAAACGCAGAGCCTACGATATTTAACCCCGCCCCAGCTTCTGCAGGTTCAGTTGCGTCCGCTCCCTCGTCTCAAGATCCTAGGTGCTGTGATGTCACATGCCATGCCTTGGTTGTTTTGCTCACCCTCTCTAGTCTTGCAACGGCGACGGCGCTGGTGCCCCCACTTGTACAAAACGGATCTTTTGCCCCGGCTTTGTCTCCCGTCGTTGCACCCTTGCCCGGTCCGAACCTCGGATCCATTGCACGGCCACAGCCTCCTGGGCCTCCGTCCAGCCTCCTTTCATCCTGGGCACCCCCGGCTGGAACCATATAGGACGTACTGCCTTACGATTCTTCTTTCAGAGAATTAAGGGTGAAGAAAGATGGCACTTACAGGATTCTCTGACGGACGATGTAGTGGATTCTGCTTGCCAAAAAACTGGGATTTATTTTGTCAAGGCGATATGTCTTTCGTTTTTCTGTCTCATTTGAGATTATTATGTATATCCGCGCATATCTTGTTGAGTCCTTCCGACCAGTGATTGTCATCACAGTATAGCCGTTGCAGAAGCGATATCAAGGAGGCCGGATGGCCGAGTGGTCTAAGGCGTCAGATTTAAGAACCATTGCTTCCTGATGGGTGTGAACCCGCGCGAGTTCGAACCTCGCTTCGGCCATATATATTTTTGTATCCCAGGTTTTGTCGTCGTCTTTGCAACGTTTTAACATGACGGTTGTAGCTTTGTTTTCAAAATAATTGGTATTATGCACAGGGTTGTCGAACACCGTCATGTCGCTTCTACAGGAATTTAAAACGGCCTCAGGCTTGTGTAGGCTGAGTATGTCTTAGAAAATCTAGGATTCATTTAGTTTGGTTCTACGAGGGATTGCTGCGCAACTCACACTAGTAGTACCACCACCAGGGGCCTGTCGGACTCTGAGAGCCTAGTCAGTGCCGTCGGACCGCTAGAACCAGGATTTTTACCTGCGAGTTGGCTTGAACTCCTCTGGTTCGTCCGAGCCCCAAAAACTGCCAAGGGTGCTATTTCCACCGGGGGCTTCTCGAACACGCCTAGGACAAGTTGAGTGGAAGAGTTGCTTCACCGATTGGCACACACCTGCTTGGCTTGATACCAGTGCCCGATGAAACATTACTCTGAGTCTTAGCCTCAGCTGCTGCAGCAGCTTCGACTGTGGGCGAAGGGGTTGCGGGTGCGGTACTTTCGGCCTTGGGGGAGGCAACAGGGACATCCTCATCCGCGAAAATATCAGTTCGAGGGCCCCCAGGAAGTTCGCGTACACGACGGGTGGGTTTGAACTCAGTGGAAGAAGTAGCCGCAGAACCTGAAGGCCCAATACATTGTTAAAAGTCTCTCTCTATCATGTAAAAGACATACCAGAGCCGACTGCGGGCGAAGAGGAGACTACGGTCGCGGCACTTTCCACTTTGAGGGGCGCAAGGGACAAGGCATCGGGAACATCCTCGTCCGCAAAAATATTGTTTCGAGGTCCCCCAGGAAGTTCGCGCACACGTCGAGTGGGTTTGAAATCCGAGGACGGAGAGGGAGCCGCGGAACCTGAGAGCGAAACATATCGTCAAAGGACCTTGTCTACTGTGGAAAGCCATGCCTGACGCGACCGTCGCCGCTGCGGGGGAATCGATAGCACTGTCAGCTATTTTGCCAAACTTTACATATCCTACGTGCAGTTCTCATGATTAGTTGGTACGGGGGATGAGCATCCATCTTACGCGGAAGCTTCTGAATGTTGGCGAAATTTGTGTCTACGGTCGTACCAGTGTACCTGCTACGGTCAGCCAAGCACACAAAGTCGGGTTGAAGACTCACTTGAGGAATTCCATCAACGAGCGTTTAGTGAAGATGATGCTCGTTCCATCCCAGTCGAGCATGCCTAAAGAAGTGAGCCGGGTGGAAGAAGAGGAAGTATGAGGCGAACCAAGGTTGGCAGCCCAGTCTCTCTCGTTTTCCATATTGACGGGGAATGTTGGGATAAACCTAGATAATGCATGGGGCGAGGCCAGAGGGTGGCACTGGGACTCACGAAGACATGGTTGACGCTGGTTGACTGGTAACGGTTGAAAGGAAGCGAATCACGGGACCGCACGATGGTCTTGTCGCGATTCCCAGTATCGCGTACAACGCTGAAGCGAGCATATGGCACGCTCCCCTCCGCCATTTACATCGACCCTGCAAGGGCCACCGACCCCGCCGTCTGCACTACCCCCACCATCACCCATGCCCAGCGTGAACAACTCGACAGCGCTCTACGCGTCGACCAGGCGGGCGAAATCGCCGCCAACTACATATATATGGGCCAGATGTTCATTCTAGGACGGGATCGCGCCCTGAAACCTCTCATTCAAGTTGGTTTATTCTATGCTACTCTTCGTCATGTCATTATCCCGGCTCCATTGTAGGGAATGTGGGACCAAGAAAAGAAACACCTCGCGGTTATGGACAAGCTGCAGCTCCAGCACCGAATACGGCCAACGCTGCTCTCAGACGTTGCTAAAGTTGCTGGTTTTGGTCTGGGCGCGGTGACAGCGCTCATGGGTAAGGAGGCAGCCATGGCCTGCACAGAAGCCGTCGAGACAGTCATCGGCGAACACTACGACGAGTCAGCCTGAGCCCCCATTGGTTCACCCGAATATTGACCGAAACATCCTAGCCAACTCAAGGAGATGGAGTCGCTGCCATCAGAGCACCCTAGCATCCCGTTGTTGCGGGACGTGGTGAGAGAGTTCAGGGACGATGAGCTGGAACATCTCGACATTGCGGTGGAACATGACGCCCAACGGGCTCCTGCGCATGCTTTGTTGAGTAGTCTTGTCGGCGCGGGTTGCAAAGTGGCGATAGAGGTCTGCAAGAGGGTATAATAGACATGCTTTAATATTTCACTTCTGTGCGGTTACTACGACTTGGGCGTGGCTGCCAGTGACTGATCCCGCCGCTTCCCCGTCCAGTCCCATTTGTACTATGCAGAAATGAGCGTGCGGGTATGAGGAATGTGCAAAGCAACTGACTTGAGTTGCATATATGGTAAGGAATAAACCGACCGGGAGGATTAATGCTCCCCACATCGAAGACCGCACCGTCCTGTTCGTCCAACGAAAGTGTTTGTACTGTTCTTCTCGCTGGATGGGCGACGCGTCGGTCAGTCAATGAGCGAGTATAGACCGGAAGAATTAACCATGAGCGACTGCCGCTCAATCGCAGCATCCTGGATCTGGGAGTAGAGTGAGAGGATGACCAGGGGGAGGAAGACGTCCAACCTTTACATGAGCTATCACAGCGACGTTCAGTACGAAGACGAGAATAACGAAGGACTGAATACTGACCGTGGCCAGTCATGGCGGTGTTGTTAATAGTTGTTTGTTGCTTCCGACTCAGACTCTGACATGGCCTACAACCGCGAATGGGACCAGGGGAAGCCCTCGTGGGCCCAGCAACAGGCCTGGAATGCCCCAAATTTCCATCCCAGAGAAGATGACCATTACACCGAAGGAAAGCGCAGGAAAATAAACGCCGGCGTTGGTGGCCTCCTTGTCCCGGCTTCGTCCGTTCATATTTTATCCAGGGCTATGAACCCTCTCAGGTGTACGCAGACAATAGCTACGACAACGCCGCGTATGCAGGGCGACAGTCAGACCCATCGCAGGACCACTCCCAACGCGGCGCCGGTGGCCCTTTTGTCAAAAAGCGCCTACAACCATCGGAGCCGAGCCCTCATGTCATTTTCTTGGGCTTGGATCCAGACTTCACCGAGGCCGATGTCTGTCGACTCCATCTCTTCTCCCCATCATACTCTGTGACTGAAGCCGGCCCCAGCTGCAGAAATATCTCACCTCCAATGGCTGCAGTATAGAAACCGTCACAATCATCCGAGAGAGATCATCAGGCACTTGCCCATTCGTATCTCTGATTCTGCACTTCCATTAACGTTGTTCGCCGTTGGATTTACAAGGTTCCTCCAAGGGCTTCGGCTTTGCGCAATTCCCAACAATCGACCATGCGCGCGCATTCGTGGATCCTCTCTTCCCGTTTATACAAGTTCCACCCCCGGCGTCCCATGGCGCGTCGGCGACGACGGTATTTTACAAAGCCCTCGAGACCGGCCTTCCGCACAATGGACGAAGAGTCAAAATTGATTACTCCCAAAGCGCCAGTCCTCACGAAAAGGGCAGGATGAACCGCGGTAATTTGAACGATGGAACCCGCGACATTGGCAACTCCCAAGCTGCTGTCCTGCTGTTCCGCGGCCTTGATCCCCTCTCAGGGCCTCAAGCAATTCACCAAGCAATGCTCTCCTCATCTGGTCCTGGGAAAGACGGCGCAAAGGGCATGAAACGCATCATCTTAATCAAAGACAAGGTCACTCTGGCCAGTTTGGGTTTTGCGTTTGTAGAATTTGTGGATCCACAGGTTCTTTTTATATTCTAATCCTGAACATCCGTTTTGATATATCCTTGCAGTCTGCTTCGGTGGTGCTGGCCGCAACCATGTCGCCACAAATACACCCTTCCGGCTTCCGCATCTCGGATCGTCCCGTCGCGGCCTCATTCGCACATCCATACTCTTTCCAACCCATTGCGGACCTCATGATCCGTGACGATGCGTGTATTCCGTCGTCTGTCAGTCTCGGAGGAGAGGAGGGCACATTGGTCCGCTACTGGGATGAGGGTTCCACAATAGCTCAGCTGGAATTCCAAGTGGAACAGCCAGTCCAACCGGCCGCCACTCAGACGAAAGAGAAGAAGGAGAAAAAGAAAACGAAAGGTATCCTTCAACCCTGTCTCTTCGACGTCGTCTGTTACTTACATATATATAGGAGACGCAGAGTTGGCTCTTCGCAACGTCCCTGCGGCACCATCGGCCCTACCTGTAACCGACAAACCCGTTACACTTAATTTTAACAAGGGTTTAGGAAGAGCCGGTCCAGGTAAGACCCTAATCACCCTGATGGATATTCTTTAATGTTCCTTACAGTCGCCGTCAAGGCAGTTTCATTGGGATTCTCCCTCGATGATGGCGCGACCGGAGATTCGGCTGCAGAAAATGAGGCTGACAGCGACAAGAGCAAAGGTCAGAGCGTCGCCTTTTTTTTCCGAGACCCAACTTCTGACGTTTTTATTTTGGATAGCTCCCACCGGGAAAAAAGTTGCGCCCTTAATTGCCAGTAAGAAGGTACTGTATTCAGCAATGGATCCTCACATCCCCAACTCCTTGTATCGGTCTAACCACGGCGTGGCCTTTTTTCAGACTGTTAGCAATATCAACAAGTGGAATCAAGTCCAGGAGGAACTTACGAACGATACGAGTGTTGTCCTGCCCTCTGCTCTGGTGACCCATCTTTCTTGGCTATGCCCTCCAGAAAATTGGGTTTTCTTTGTTCTCATTGTGTACCCTCTCTGTGCAGGCGCCTTCGAAGAAACCCGGGCCGTCTTCTGCTCCGACACTTTCGGATGCCCCTGTCGTTTCGGCCGCTCCAGAAGCAATACCTGTAGAGGAGGACTTTGAGTTTTCGGACGTCGGCGCTCTGACCTGTCTACTCTGCGCCCGCCAGTTCAAGACCGCCGACCAGTTGAAGCGCCATAACAAGGAATCAGACTTGCACAAGGCTCGCATTCCACAACTTTGCGTTCCACCTGTTTTCAAAG